TATATATATATATATATATATATATATATATAAGTATATGTACAATAATCTAGTAATGAAAACTATAGACACTAGGTTGCCAGTCAAGCAACATCTATACATCTGATTATGTCAAAATAACCCAACCAAAAACAACAAAACAAGTCGCTAGCATCGCCTCACCAAGGCCACCACTTGACTCCAGTTAATCTTTTCATGATTCCTTGATAAATCATGATCATCACAATCCAACCACCAAAAAACATGAAAGAGCGAGTAAGATTATAAAAGAATAATCGTACAAGTATAGAAGTATAACAACTACATTGACAACATCAACATAATAACCACATCATCATGACATTCAACAACTTTACAAAGAAAACCATTCAAATACATATGAATACTCATTTATCACCACATCAATGTCATTCAACAACAATCTTAACAAAGCACATGAACAACACCAAATAACACCACATCATATATGCATACACTTCAACTAGTGTGTTGTCACGTATTCATCTATGGGAATTTCCTACAACACCTAAGCAATCTAAGTGCAACTTAAACTAAGAAAGTATAATACTACCGTTAGGTATAATATAGTTTAGGTGTGAGCCTACCATGATATTGATATGCATTAATCAAGTTACTTGTGGGATTAACTTGCTAATTATCCTTACGATATCATGCACTTTTCTAGTAATTAGTTAAGGATTTTAACCTTCGAATTCATACCTTACTCCAACATTGACTAAGGATCTAGAGGAGACCCAACAATCCACTCCAAGAGTTATCACCTACTCAAGGAGGGTTTCAACAAATGGCCTCCCAAAGTGCCATGCCAATATATGCACTATGAGATATTTAACTTTCAAAAACGCCATCTCCTCTAATCCTAAGTTAATCAATATGTTTTAATGACTATAACATTCTCAACATCAGCACCTCAACAATCATCATCTATATTCATTACCTAGGTTAATTAATATAAAGATCTGACAACATCATCACTTTATAACATACCAATGCATCACAACCATTTCAATCATACAATCATCTATATATATATCAATATACATAAAATAACATCACTAATCAACATACAACAAGCAATAAACTCACCTAATCTATTCATGTTCACCATTTAATTATATTAAAGCAACAAGTATTTTCAAGCAACTTGTGCCTAGTGTGATACACCTTGTGCCCGATGCCATTGAGGCAAGGTGCCCTCTGTCTCGCCCACACCCAACATCATACAACCCATGCCCAGCGTGGATTAGGTAGAGGCCCCCTAAACCCTCATGCCTAGCATCACAAAGTCCTATGCTTGACCTTATGCCAACCTGAAATGATTCTCTTTCCTTACGCTTGACACCATTCCTTTGGCGTTTGATGCCAATCCAACCTAAGGTAATTCTCTTACTTCACGCTCAATGTCATTCAAACCTTACTCAATGTGATTTCAAATCGAGACGATTCTTTGTTCTCATGCTTGGCACCACCAACCTCACACCTGCTGTAGGCAAGGTCAAAAGTCCCCTATTGAAGCTACACTCGGTGCCTAGAAGGCGTGCTTAACACAATGGTGAGTTCTACATATAAGAGACCCACAAATTTACTCCGTCACCTGAAACTCAACAAAACCAAGCATGCAACACAACCATACATTTCCATCCATCATATATAACTCATTCCTCATCAAAGTAGCATGCAACCAAAAATTGGTCAAAATCACCAAGATTCACTTCAACATGCTTCAAAGCACCAAAACTCATCATACATCAATTCCACCTCAGAATTTCAATCATGCAACCATTAAATTATGAAATCAATCATCCGATATACAATTCCATCAATTCAACAAGAATCATGAGTCTAACTTGTATTATCTCAACTCCAAGCAAAGGGAGGAAAAAAAGGGAGAATTAGTTCCAAGCTTTTGAACTTCAAGAAGCACCACACCACACCTTTACAAAGATGATCTTCAACAAGAGCCTTCAATCAACAGTAACACACCAAATAAAGATGTACTACTCTCTTGGGAAGTCTAGAAAGAAAAAAAAGAATCAAAATCTCCAAGGCTTCTCTTTTTAGGATCTCTCTAAGGTTTTTTGAGAAATGATTTTATGAGTCTTAAGTCTCATCAAAAGGCACTTTATATACTTCTCCTCTCAAGGTTAATTGGGCCTTAGGTCAGAGAAACCCTCAAAACTACCTAAATTCACAAGGATTCCTAAATTCATAAGTTTCTCAACAAAAGACACCAAAACAACACAACTCATAATTATTGACACCATTTTGAAACCAATGGTCAAACTAAAGTTGTCAATTGGTCCCTTCAAACCTATCTTTGTTGTTTCCCTTGTGACCAACCCTCCCAATGGTTTCATTTTTTCCAGACATGACACTCAATCATTTGCATGATCGACCCCCTCCAACATTTCTAGATTACCACCATCACTCAATTGACCTGTCGATTATCCCAATATCCCTACAATAAACACAAATCCTTATGTGCCAACTCAATGAAAATCTTTGTCAATCTCACCAAATAATGGAACCTCAAGCAAACAAAAATAAGATTGATCTTACCTTTCAACCACAAGAGTGGGTTTGGCTTCATCTCAAACCATATTGCCAACACTCCATCTCACGTTGATGTTCTCAAAAACTAGCTGGTCATTTTTATGACCTTTTTCAAATTCTTTGCCGCATCGAAGAGGTGGCTTACAAGCTTTCCCTTCCTTCTACGATCCAAATACATCCTATTTTTCATGTCTCTTTACTTCAATGCCACATCAGACCACCACCAACCACCATCAATTTGAATTAGTGAAATGAAGTATCAAATGATTTTTAAATTTTTTTAAAAATTGTGGAATTGATCTATGTATTAAGAACTTTAAATTTAATAGTTGGCTCGTTGAAATTTGATGTAGAATATGAGTTATTGAATGAAATAAGTCTAGGTAAACTTATTCCTGAAATAAATAGATCCCTTATATATATACATATAAATATATATACATATAAATATATATACATATATATATATATACATATATATATATATATATATATATATATATATACATATATATATATATATATATAT